CTAATTTTCGCTGCCCGTAGAAATACCGCCTGCCATGCAGGCTAAGGTTAACCCAGAGAGGTTAACCCTTGCTTCGTTTGAGCACGGTTTCGCGGTAATCTTGAGGTTCTTGAATTACCGCCTCATTGAGATCCTTGAGTACTTGGCGAGGTACTTGCTACATTATTAACATAAATTATGTTGTAGAAATTGGTCTCAATTCTCGATCTTTTAATCGATTTTCGATAATTCAGTCCTGTTTGTATTCAGATCGGTTCTGTGAATAACGTGTGATGTTTCGTAACAACATTTTCTACACAATCCAAATAAAAAAAAATTATGAGGAAGTGGAGTCAATGTTCTATGGCTACATGCTGTCAAACCATGACTACTACATCATACCGTAAGTGCCAATTACGTTCGATTTCTTTTTCCACTAAATATTCGATCATCCTGCAGCAATTGTAGGACAAGCTAGGAAATTCATTTTCTACAAAGTTGATATAGCCATATAGGAATGAAATTACCCCGGAAGTTAGGTTGGTCACTGTCACAGCATGTTTCACAATATTATAATGACTATTGACTTTGAAAACAATCGCATATAAATATCAGCTTGATGGTCAGGTTCATTATGATGTACTTTCCGACATCCTTTTCTTTGTCTGAAACTTATAGTTTGCCTGAAATTTATAGTTTGCCTGAGCTGTTATCAACAATTGATAAAAAATAACAATCGTACATCTTTATTGCACCACCTAAACTGGCAATGTCCACAATTTTGTTCACCATACAAAGTTACGAAAGAACAAACGCGTACATATTATGAAACTTTGAAGTGCTTTTCGCTTCCTGCTGCCATATCAGGTTGACAATTAAATTCAAATGAACTTCGAATTGTTCTAAAATTTTATTATGTAACAAATTATTTTTTCATGCAATGTTCTATTTTTTAAAGTGTAACAAATTTTTTTTTGAATATTCTAGAAATTTTATAATGTAGCAAAAACGGCATAAATTCGATACGTTAAAAATTAGAATATTCGCAGCGGGTCAATTTTCTGTTAATGACAAAATTCTTGAATATTTGCAATATTTGGCCTTGATTTCTGGAGAAATGGACTTGTTTCAGCTCAACTTGGAGTGTCTGACAATGACGTGTATTGGGGTGTATAATCCGCCAGTCAATTCTCAGGAAATATGTGAAATTTGCATACTCAACAACAATGCTATAAATTTTATCCCAACATGGCCTAATATTTCAGTGCCTAGAAAGCGACTTCAAATTTCGACCAAATGTGGAGCTGAATTCCAACTGATGCATGAAATAAATGCCATTAATGGCGTAACACGAACCCCGACAAGAAATAATCAATTTACCCTTAAATTCATTTGCCCAAATTAGGCGCTAGCGTGCTACTTGGCAACTGCAATTTCTAGCTGAAATTTCATATTTTTACTTCACATTCCGCTGTTAAATATTATTCTATGAGCTGAGAAGTCATACTTATGGAATCTGTGGTTTAAACGAAAGCTACAAGCAAATTTAGCATTATATCAGCGTAAATAAACAAGTTAATGCTGTAATTTGAACCTAGACATGCACGCTGTTGACACATACGGTGATGAAGCCTTTCGTATCTGTGCTTTTACGTACAAAAAAACTCCACTAAGTCCTTCTAACTTTTATGAGAGTCTAAGGACAATACGTAGAAAACTTTACACTTATTATTGCCTTGCATTTTGGCTGATTTTAGGGCATAATATATAAACTTTTTACGAAATAGTGAAATATAGAAATGCAAACGGAAGAATTCGAACGGAAATGAAATCAAATTTCAAAGACGGTTGAGCAGGTTGTTTAAAGCTGACCAATCAGCGATGCCGTTACCATATATGGTAAACTTTGCGAAGTGTATAGGCACATGGCTTTGTTGTCTGCACAGGCATTGCCTAATAAGGATTCAATTCGATCGCGGTAGTGCAATGTTTATGCTAAGTTTGTAGGCCCAAAATTAAACATAGTATTTGGGGTTTTCCTAACCAAAAAGCGGTGCAATATTGGAGATAACCAATTCACCAAATTCCCTTTCTCTGCATGCGATTTTTATTAATTTTCCTAGCTTATAATCCGCAGGAAGGGTTGAAAATTAAGCTATCTTGTGCGTCTGTTTTGTTTTCTTGCTTTTTTTGGCGTGCCCCGGCTTTTCATTCACCGGAAACGGTAGAAGCGATCAAGGGCATTCTACCGGATGTGACGTAAGCGCGTCAGCATTTAGAGGCATTTAAATTTTGGAAGAATCATTTCGCTTTCATTGCTTGTTGGAGCAGCTTGTTGGAGGTGGACAATACGTTAAAACACGCTTAGCACTCGAAGTTTGTTGTAAAAATGGAAGACGACGTTGCGGCTTTAGTTGTTGATAATGGATCGGGTATGTGCAAAGCTGGTTTCGCCGGCGACGATGCACCAAGAGCTGTTTTCCCCTCCATCGTCGGTCGTCCTCGCCATCAAGGTGTGATGGTTGGTATGGGCCAGAAAGATTCGTATGTTGGCGACGAGGCCCAAAGCAAAAGAGGTATCCTTACCTTGAAATACCCCATCGAACACGGCATCGTCACAAACTGGGACGATATGGAGAAGGTAAGTTTTTGTGCTTTGTTTTAAGTTGTCGTTTTCGCTTCGGCTTGTGGGTAACGCCCATTCTATTCGTTTTAGATTTGGCACCATACGTTTTACAACGAACTCCGAGTGGCACCAGAAGAACACCCCGTCCTCCTTACAGAAGCTCCCTTAAACCCGAAAGCCAACCGAGAAAAAATGACACAGGTATGAAAATGTACACAATTAATAGCCATATTTGTACTTCTGTAGACTCACGACAAAATTGCGTCACAGCCGCCTAGTTTCTCCTTCTGATGTCAAGTATTTTATCTAAGAGACCAGGATATTCGTATATATATACCCCTAATTTTAAGTTCCGAAATCCCTGCATTGAAGATGTGTTATTTGTTTTCCACGAGTCCTGTTATTAATAAAAAATGTTCGTGGTTCGTTTAACCTGCATGGTCTTTTGAAGATATGCTTGCTTTTAATTCATTTTAAAACAAAAATTTAACGTGCCCTGGAACGATTGGCACTGTAAACATTTTTTAATTTTTTATGTTTTTAATTTTTACAGATCATGTTTGAAACCTTCAACACCCCAGCTATGTATGTGGCCATCCAGGCTGTGTTGTCCCTGTATGCTTCTGGTCGTACCACAGGAATCGTGTTCGACAGCGGTGATGGTGTCTCCCACACTGTACCAATCTATGAAGGTTATGCCTTGCCTCATGCTATCCTTCGTCTTGATTTGGCTGGCCGTGATCTTACAGATTACCTCATGAAAATCTTGACGGAGAGAGGTTACTCGTTCACCACAACCGCTGAACGAGAAATCGTCCGTGATATCAAAGAGAAATTGGCCTATGTCGCATTGGACTTTGAACAAGAAATGGACACTGCTGCAAGCAGTTCGAGCTTGGAGAAGGCCTACGAGCTTCCTGACGGTCAGGTTATCACCATCGGTAACGAGAGATTCCGATGCCCAGAAGCACTCTTCCAACCATCATTCCTTGGAATGGAATCTGCTGGTATCCATGAAACCTGTTACAACTCCATCATGAAATGCGACGTCGATATCAGGAAAGATTTGTATGCTAACACCGTGTTGTCTGGTGGTTCTACTATGTTCCCTGGTATTGCCGATAGGATGCAGAAAGAAATCACCGCTCTCGCTCCACCTACGATGAAAATCAAGGTGATTGCTCCTCCAGAAAGGAAATACTCTGTCTGGATTGGTGGCTCCATCCTGGCTTCCCTTTCGACCTTCCAGCAGATGTGGATCTCGAAACAGGAATACGACGAGTCTGGACCATCTATTGTTCACAGGAAGTGCTTCTAAACTTTTGGACACATAGTGACTTTCTAATCACAATAACAATAGCGGTTTAACGTAATTTGGTTGTAAAATTTATAATGTGTCCAGAAATGGAACCAAATTGTTTATATTTTTTGGACGAGAGTGTTTAAATGTCTGTACAGGTCAACAAGTAATTCATGCAAAACTTCAAAAATTCGCATTTAATAAAAAAAGTTAAAATTTTCTAAATCTGTTGTCAACCTTGTGTGTCTCTATTGTAGATCTACACTTGTTTTACAGTCTTGAAACTTATCAAACCCCCAATAATTTTTTGTGTGTATCTAGCGTGCAACAATCTTCACCTTTCCACAGTGACAGTGAGTTCTAATGGAAAGCTCATCATCAAGGTGGTTTAGTCTGCAAAAAGAACTTTATTTGGAAAACGTTTTGAATAAAAGTTCTATTTACAGACTAAACCATCTTGTGTTAAAGCTGTTTTGTGGACTTGACTTGACCCCTGCTCCAAGCATTCAGCTAAGTGACAGCCCACAAGTTCTACTTGGAACTTGTTATATAGTGTTTTATAACACAACACGGCTTTGCATGCAACCCGAAATTTAGAAATACAACTGTACAAGTGCTTAATACAGTGTTACAGTTACATTGTTTTCCATGCCAAATTTAAGAGTATTTCCTTTAAGGCATGTTTCAGACGTTGAGCTTCTCATGTGATGCAGTAAAATGCCTCACTATCCAGAAGTGTGATGTTTGAAACAGGCCTAGCTAATGGAAAATTGCATTGTGTTGTATGCTTTCACATAATTACATGTGGTACAGTGTTGCATACAATATTAACACATGTGGATATGCCATAACCCACCCTTGCCCGTGTGAGGGTGCAGGTGTGCTGTTCTGCAGTTGTTTCAAAGCATGTACATGGAACCCACAACCTAAGTATGACATTGACATGGGACTAGGCTGGTGATCTTTCTGAAACATGCTTCCTGCTGTGCAATAACCTGCTAATTAAGCCGCAATGCGCACTGATGCACCATACTTGTTGCGGTTAATGAGTTAATATGCAATGGTAGCACATTAATTTATTTGCGCAATCAATAGATTAGCCTGCGTCCAGACCCTACACCCGGAAAAGGCGGGAATTAATAGCTTGCATATTAACCCATCGAGCGTCGGCGCTTTCCCTTGACGAGTGAAATCGTCTGGCGTAAGACGGAGTGAAATGCATTGAGGCGCAATGATCGATTCACAGTCCATGTAACCTGCGATCAGGCGTTCTTGGGTGTGATGCAGCGTATCGACAGATGCGAAGCGGAAATACGGATGACTCCACCGGACGTGACGTCGTCATTAGAAGCATTTAAATTGTGCAAAATTAATAAGTTCGGTCTCACTCGTTGAAGGCCTGACTCAGAAGTTGAGCTGTACGTTTATAGAAGACGCTTAGAAATTTATCAAAAATGGAAGACGACGTTGCGGCTTTAGTTGTTGATAATGGATCAGGCATGTGCAAAGCTGGTTTCGCCGGCGACGATGCACCAAGAGCTGTTTTCCCCTCCATCGTCGGTCGTCCTCGCCATCAAGGTGTGATGGTTGGTATGGGCCAGAAGGATTCGTATGTTGGCGACGAGGCCCAAAGTAAAAGAGGTATCCTTACCTTGAAATACCCCATCGAACACGGCATCGTCACAAACTGGGACGATATGGAAAAAGTAGGTTTTCGACCTCGTGTAAACTTAAATTTCGTTTCATTTTGTCGCTTGTGGTTAACGCCCCTTTCTGACTTTCTCTGTTTGCTTGCTAGATATGGCATCATACTTTTTATAACGAACTCCGAGTAGCACCAGAAGAACATCCCGTTTTACTCACAGAAGCTCCATTGAACCCAAAAGCTAACCGAGAAAAAATGACACAGGTATGAGAGAACTTATAATTCATCTCAAATTTATAGCCATATTTGTAGATTAATGGTGAATTTATTGGTTTACAGCCAAGAATTCAAAGCATAGACAATCTAGTTACTTCGTATTTCAACTATTGGATTGTATTTTAAGCCTATAAATAACCATATGTCGTAATTTTTAGTGTTTGAAAAAATTGCTTTTTGGCATCTTCGTATTTGTTAATAATTATAAAAGTCTCGACTAGTTCTAATCGCGGTTCTAATGGCATTTAATTGTACAGAAAGTTCTTAAATTTAAACGAGTCTTATTGTATAGTTGTTGGGTAACTAGATTGAGGGCTATAACGTCGATTTTTCAAGTCAAATTCAATAAGCTTTGAATAGGTGTGGCAATGTAAATTCAGTTGCATTCTTTACTTCCTGCTTCCTTGTCATTTTCCTTGCCCTTCGAAGTTTTCCTGTCTAAAATTAAGGTACTTGGCTCATTACAAGTTCCTAAAACGTGTCAGGCCCATTTTAGACTGGCCTACTTTACATGAGCTGAACTTGATGCTTGTTTTACTGAAATAGGTGTTTTCTATGTTTGAAATTGAAATGGGTGTGCTTCTCCTGAGCTGATTCATTGCAACCTCTATTTGGTATGGCTCAGTAAAAGCACAGCATGTCTGAACGAAGCAAAGTTTTAAATTCCACTGTATTAAATACAAATTGCCATGCTTGTTAAATTCAGCACACTTTTATGCATTGAAATAACGTCAGCTCTGGGCAGTATTGCCTTGGTGTATTTAGAAAGCAACAATCTGGCATCCAAGTACTTTACTTTAGCCTTTCTATTCATGTAAGCTGTAAATTCTATCTTTTACAGATCATGTTCGAAACCTTCAACACCCCAGCTATGTATGTAGCTATCCAGGCTGTGTTGTCCTTGTATGCCTCTGGTCGTACCACAGGAATCGTGTTCGACAGTGGTGATGGTGTCTCCCACACTGTACCAATCTATGAAGGTTATGCCTTGCCTCATGCCATCCTTCGTCTTGATTTGGCCGGCCGTGATCTTACTGATTACCTGATGAAAATCTTGACGGAGAGAGGTTACTCATTCACCACAACCGCTGAACGAGAAATCGTCCGTGATATTAAAGAGAAATTGGCCTATGTCGCTCTCGATTTTGAACAAGAAATGGACACTGCTGCAAGCAGTTCTAGCTTGGAGAAGGCGTACGAGCTTCCTGATGGTCAAGTTATCACCATTGGTAACGAGCGATTCCGATGCCCAGAAGCACTCTTCCAACCATCATTCCTAGGAATGGAATCTGCTGGTATCCATGAAACCTGCTATAACTCCATCATGAAATGCGATGTCGACATCAGGAAAGATCTGTATGCTAACACCGTGTTGTCTGGTGGTTCTACCATGTTCCCTGGTATTGCCGACAGAATGCAGAAGGAAATCACTGCTCTCGCTCCACCCACAATGAAAATCAAGGTGATTGCTCCACCAGAAAGGAAATACTCTGTCTGGATCGGTGGCTCCATCTTGGCTTCCCTCTCGACCTTCCAGCAAATGTGGATCTCCAAACAAGAATATGACGAATCTGGTCCATCTATTGTTCACCGAAAATGCTTCTAAGTTTAGTGACTTTCTAATCATGATAACATTTAACGAACTGCGGTTGTAAAATTTAAGATAATTTTGTTCTGAATAATGAACCATATTGTTTTATATTTTTTGGAGAAGAGTACCTTGGGGGTGTGACAGTCTGTACAGTTCAACAGTGACAGAATTAGATTATACAAAACTTTGAAAATTCAATTTATAATTAACTAAAAAATACATTTCTTTTCTAAAACTGTTGTTGGCTTTTCTAGATTATGTTATATTACATTAGACACTTGACTTGCAATTTTAATGATTATGTTTATTTCAAAATTGTGAGGAACAATATTTTTGTTTGGTGTTTGTTACTAAATTAGAATTTTCATAAATTATATAGCATCCTCTGCATTATAATTATTTGTTAAAAACAAGTAATTATGTCAGGAGAATAATGCTGTATAATTTGTAGAAATTTTAATTTTATATATATACATATATATACAAATTAATAAAATTAAAAATTTTCTTTAATATATCAGTTTGCCTGCTCAGCAGACCCCACCTGAAAGTTTAAAGCAGAATTTGGGCTGCAAGCAGGCTAGGTATTAGTTGATAATGCTGCACTTAACCCATTGAGTGGAAAGAGTGCCAGCACTTGTGTGGTGAGTAAAATAATGCACCTCGAGTGATGGGAGCAAATAGATTAGGACACTTTCAATATAAAAAAGAGAGAACACCCATAATTTTGCCTTCTGGAATTCCATGCTGAAAAGTGGCACTAGAAAATATGTTGACGAGAATGGTGGAGCCATGGCCTAGAACTTATAACTTACTGTTCTAACACCATTAACACACCATTAATAGAGTCCAAATCAGTTGTCACTATATTTGTCCTTATCATGCTCACTCGTGCTCCTATTTAAGGCTGCAATATATAGGTACATGGCTTCAAAGCAATCCCAAGAGACCAACCCATCGAGGTGTAGCCAGTATTTTTGTCAGGGGGGCACACAAACTTAGGTTGGGCCAGGCTTCACTTATTTTTATAGAATGAATTTTCTTAGAGCATTTTACCAGGGGGTGCCCTGGCTATGCTGCTGCGAAAATGAAGGCAGACTGAGGGGGGGGGGGTGAATAGGTTTTCAGAATGTCGGATTTCACAGAAAAAATAGTTCGGATCTGGCGAATATTTTACACAGATTTGCGGATCTTATTAATACAGCGGATTGTGGTTTATCTAATATTTTGGCTCAGATTGTGGATTTAGCTTGCAATTTAATTCGGATCCTGGATTGTGACTTCATACTAGAGCTTTTAGCAAATTCAAATTTAGACAAGATCATTGTTGGATTGTGGATTTTGCTACCCCTATTCACCCCCCCACCGAGAGTAATGAGATGCAAATGAGATTCCTCTGTGTAAATGCCCTGCATGTGCACTGAACTGTGGCATGATGAAAGCCACTTATTATTCGTTCTAAACCTTTTTTGCCTTTTGGATGGCGTTACAGTAAATATCTTCATTTGTGACCATTTGTTCCATTTCAATTTTACAATTACTGTAAATTTGATACTTTTGCCAAGAAAGAATAATTTACGTTTTAGTTAGCTTAGATGACGTTTTACATTCACCGCTGACCAAAATACCGTGGGCTCGCTTTGCGCGAAATTTTTCAACAACATGGCGGCTGTTTGTATGTGTTCGAATCTGACAGAAAACTGTGTTGAATATCTTACTCAAGACAATTTAACATAAAACAACATTCGAAAACAGTTTCAGTGGCACTAGGGGTCATGTAGCAGCTCCAACAAGGTCTTTTGTGATTGGTCAAAGGGATAGTTAAATATTAATTATATACTGGACAAATAAATTCTATGTTCGTATACAATATAGAAATTTGCGTATTAACTTGTTCTATTTGTAATCATTTACAAGCAATAATCTTAAGGGAAGATAATCAAGCAGTTATATAGTAGTGAAGAGTATAGCATTGTAGGTAGTGAAGGTAGTAGCGAGGGTAGCGGGGGTAGCGGAGGTAGCGAGGGTAGCGGAGGTAGCGAGGGTAGCTAGGGTAGCGACGGTAGCGAGGGTAGCGGAGG